TGGAGAAACCTGTGTCCTGGGACCCAGTGTTAGGTGCTGGCGGGGCTCACGGGGCTGGGTGGTGGCCGGGCTGGGATGGGAGAAGGGCAGGGCATTGGGTGAGTGGGATGTGCATTTCAATTGTGCACTTCCTGCCCCTCACTGAGCTCTCCTGGGGAACGGAAGAGAATCTGCTGGGCCACCTAATTAAACTTGTCTGGCTCTAATCTCATGCTGGATTTGTGCAAATAGAAGGCCTGGGAACTGCAAATGGCAGCCCCTTCGCATGAAAGGTGTTGTATTTGCAGTGGGCATTGTGAGAGTCTGCAAGCTAAGTGGGGCTTTGCAAAGGACACCCAAGAAGGGGGCTGTGCATGATTGGAAGCATTAGAAAAGAATGTATTGCCTTCTACTCTTTAGGACCACAAGGGTGCTAAGGGGGTTGGGGGCGGGAGGCGGACACAGGAGTCCAGACTCCAATCCTTCTGGCACAGAATTGCCCAGCGTTGTTGGTTTTCCCGAGGCTCTGAGCAGGGAGCCCTGGTCAGCTGGCCTGCGTCCTGGGCCAGGGCCACCAGACAAGCCTTCAGGACAGGCCGATCTCAGGTCATCTTTCCCTGCAACTTGAGTTACCCCTCGTCACGACTCTTGGTGCATGAAAGCAGAGTCTTGAATGCGTGGGGGTCTCTTAAAGTGCAGAAACACAAATTCTAATTCCTGTTTTTTCCTAGTCTTTCCCTGCCCTCAGTGAAGTCCTAGCATGGTGTTCATTCCTAAATTTTTACACAATAATCCACATCGAGGATAGCCATGTGTGCCTTCCGAATGTTGTCCTGTAGCACAGTAAACAGAAAAAGGAATTTGGGAAGCAGTAGAGGGATTTGCCTTGGAGCAAGTGCTTTAACCTTTCTGAGTCTTAGTCTTCTCATTTCTAGAAGGGGTAATGCCTATTGCACAGGACTGTGGTTTAACTTCACTATGGTATTGGGCCCCCACTGGCCCTCTCCAAATCTGAGGGGAGCCGTTAGTTAAAAACTAGGAGCCGGTGCTCAAAGAGAAAAACAGTCCCCCAGTTGGATTGGACATCTTCCCAGAAATGTGCATGGTCCGCCCAAGCCACCATAGCACCTACTGTTCTGTCCAGACTGGCTTTGGAGTCTCCCATCAGGAGGGACTGACCTCTCCTTTCACACAGGTCAGGGGTTAGGGGTGCCAAGGGGAGTGTTCAGCGGCAACTTTAGGAGAACTGCGCTGGGGGAGAGTTGATGCCTTCCATGACCTACTGAGCTGTGAGCTTCTGGAAGGTTTACCTTCTGTTTTATCGTCATTTTTGTCGTTCCATTTATTTCCTTATTAGGATATATGGAAAACTTTAGCTGAGAAGGGCCTCGCAGTGGAGTAGCACAGAAATAGGGTGCCAAGAACTCTTTAAACAGGTTAAAATGTCCTTCCTGAAATAGATGCCACCATTGAAAATACCACATCACCCGTGTGTTCAAACTGAAACTCTTCCACAACACAGTTGTAGATAAAGAAGGCTCTAAGGGGAATATCTGAAAATGACTATGTATTTGCATGACTAGGTGAACTCATGGATCTGCCTGTGCAGAGGGTCTAACTCAGTCCTGACAACCTGGCCAATGAGGTGGTGGTTCTCTCCATTCCGTAGTCTGCCCATCTCTGCACATAGGGGGTGTGCAGTGGGACTCAGCCTCCAGGGGCCGTACTCCAACGTCAGGCCTGAGGGTTGCACAGAAAAAGGAATGCATTTTTTAAAAGGTTGCTTTGGAAATCTTAAAGCCAAGGGGTGCCTGGGTGGCTGGCTCAGTTGGTGAAACATCCGACTCTTGATTCCGGCTCAGGTCATGATCTCAGGGTCCTGCGATTGAGCCCCTCATCGGGCTCCATGCTGGGTGTGGAGCCTGCTTAAGATTCTCTCTCCCTCACTCTCTGCTTGCTCTCTCTCTTTCTCTAAAAATTAACAAATCTTTAAAACAGCATCTGAGGCTGAGGCACAAATGCTGATGAGTACGTATGTTCAACTAACGAGAGACCCAGTGATAGGTATTTTGTTGTGAATAAACTCGGCATTCGAGCTGCTGTTTCACCTCTCGCTTTCCCCAGCATTACTTGATTCATCAGGATGTGTGAATCCTTTCTCTGCAGATGAAGGAATGAGGTGGGGGAGGAGTACACTAGGAGAACTGACCCACGGTGTGGCCTCCCTAGATGCTCAGTCCCGCCCTCCTGCCTCACCCGGACTTGGAATGCATTGCGTTCTCTGCCAACTACAGCTGAACATCACCGTTCATTCTGCTGCCAGAGAGGAGATAATCACCTCAATCCAGATCTCAGGTAAAGAGCTTGGTGGGGGGGGGGCGGTGAAAACACCTGACAAATGATTTTTAGTAAAACCAAAAACAAAACCCAAAAAACCAAGAAGCAAAATGAAAACCTGAAAAACAGTGGAGGAAAAGAAAACCCCCTCTCTGATCTGGAATTTCTTAGACACGGACATAGAACATGAATATGCTAGATCATTAGGCCGTTTTGGATTTGTGACTACATACGGAATAGAGTATTTTCAATTCCCAGTGGGTATAAAATAAGGGACGTGAACCTACTTAGAGTGGGCATTAGTGGGATTCTAGGCTTGATTCGTGCCAGGAAGGGTTCAGTGAACAAGATCTACACACGAGAACTCATCAGGTCACGAGATGATGCAGAAAGCCCTAAGGAGCTTAGGTTAATCACCGGTGGGAAATTATTAGGATAGTAAGGAATGACTAGTTGTCTTTGGCTTTTAATTCCAGTTTTCATATGAATTAATGATGGCTCTAACACGGCGGTAATGAACATGTGCATATCCTATGTTCTTAACCACTGGATGTAGACCAGCCGCAGGACTAGAGAAAGGTGCCCTTGATTATTTAGCATCTGTGCTGCTGCAGGAGGTCAACTGCTTCATGACACAAAAACAAACCACCATAAAAAAAAAAAAAAAGAAATTTTTAATTTTTTTTTTCTCAGTGGCAGATTCACATCGCTGTTCTGATATGGATTTCCAGTAAGTCTAAAATACTGCTTTTTGGAGTTGTAAAAATTCCATTACAGAAACACAGAGAACAGAGGATAAATAGAATCATATCAGTTTGTCAGATGGTTGTTCTAAACATTCTGTACCTTATTTTCCTATAAGAAAAATTTGAGGAACCAAATTGGAAATTCCATCAGCATAGGACTAGGGTCTGGGGGGTGGGAATGGGGAAACCACCTAACGGGAAATGGTATCAGTCATGTGGTTCACCAGCAGCGCTGGGTGCATGTCTCTGAGCAGCTTTGTCTGTTTGTGGGTATTTTGTATTATGTAGAAAACCTATAATTTCAAAAAACCAAAGAAAATCTAAAACATATACTATATAAAAACAAGCCATTGCTTTTCAATGTTTTTTTTTTTTTTCCCCTTGAGACATAAACTGCTTTGAGAGAGGGATCAAAAGCTTTAATGGACAACAATTTGTTATTCAACCGAAATATTTTATACAGACACTTGGCAGATTTGGTACATGGTTTAAAAGTGAAGTTTTACAAATTTTATCAAACTAAATTAATAGATGGACAGACTTTTCAAAAAAGTTTTAACTGCCAAATGCTCAAAACCTTAAATTGTTTTTAAATCTCAAGACTAGGGACCATAGGGAAAAAGCTACTCCTAACACGTAACAGTGTTACTGCAACAAAGAGCGGGTTAACAGATGGCGTTAAAGAAAAAAAAAATAACCATTTTAAACTGTAAATACTGTTAAAAAGCTAGAGTTGTATTCCAATTTTAAAAGTATAACTGAAGTGGATGGTAATGTTCAAAACTATTTAATGTTCTTACAGAAATAATATTATAATGTTAACACAGTTTATAAAGCACTGTGAATGAACACGCTCAACAGTGTGTAGTTTCAATGAATTTAAAATCACACATGATCAAGAATATCATTCACCAAGGACAGTCCTAAGGTGTCTAAAAAGATCTATACTAAAGGTTTGGACAGAGAAAGCAGGGATACGCTTGGTTTCTTAAAAGAGTCACAATACAGCAAATGCACATTATAGCTACAATTACACTAGTCACAATTTTTAATCTTACAGAATAAAGCTATAGTATGTGAAATTACAATATATTTATCTCCTTTAAAACCATTTTTAAAGAAGGGCACATCTGTCATTTTTTAGAAGTCAAAAAACCAGCAGAAAGATGTAACTGACAAATGCAGTCTTTAAAATATTTTGTGGCTAATTCCATGCTAATTTTTAAAATACAACAGAATTTTTGGTCCATGAGGCCCTTAAAAAACTAAATGTAGGTAAGGTATTCCCATTTGTCAAGAGAAATACAAAGTTCATGAAAAAATTTCAATACTTATTAAAACATCTGTTGTCAGAATGCTTTTTTTTGGGTGTGCAGTTAAACACAGAAGTATCTCTAATAAGTAACGGATACGACAGAATAAACAAGGGAATTAGGATGCTTTAATAGGACCGTCTTGCAATCCTCCTTTGAAGGCCATCAGTAATAACACTGTCTTTGAATGTCAACTGAAACAGTTCTTGTTTCTTATATTAACATGTATCAGGACTTCCGGCTTAATAATCCTGGGTTTTCTCCCTCGGGGACAGGGAGGCGCGAACTCCGCCCACCAGCCCAGCCGGCCCGCGGCTAAGTAAAGTTTTATTGCCGCGTGGCCACACTGCTCATTTACTTTCTCATCCGCGGCTGCTTTGGTGCTGTACCAGCAGAGATGAGCAGTTTAGAGAGACCAGATGATTCTCAAGGCCTGGATTAGTTACTGCCTGATCCTTGACCGAAAAAGTTGGTCAGTCCCGGCCCTAGGGAGTTTCCCAGGCCCAACTGAAATAATGCGTGCTTCTCTAGCTTGGATTAACTCGCTTTCTCTGATGCTAATGCCCGTGTGTAGTTCATGGGTTTTACACTTCATTTTATTTGTGGGTGTATACCTAGGAACTGGTTCATCTTGAGTAAGTCAGTTGGGTAGCAAAAATGAGAATGAAAACAAATATACCTTAGGTCAGTGCCATTAAATCGGGGGGAAAAACAGCTCGAGTTTTCAAAACACACACACACACACATACATATCCAGAGCCCTATCTAGCCTATCACAAACTAATAGCTACAACATAATCAAAGTGTATTTGTTTCATAAATATATATTACTGTCCATATACATAGATACATCCGTAAAAGACATGTTAAATATCTGTATAATCAATACTACTTTAAGTTTTTTGTGTTTTAAAATTACACATTCTATTAAAATTATCAAAATAACTCTTTAAAAATACCAGGAATAAAACCACTGAGGAGTTGCTTTCCATTCAAGTGGTTCTAAAATCTTATCGTTGGTCACCCGGGCTGCAGGCTTGGTCCTCCACAACTCAGACATAGTTCAGCCAAGGGAAGGTCGGACACCAATAGCGTAACACCCTCTCCCGTTTTTAATACTTTCTTGACAAGTATGTAGTCATGTATGTATATATACATATAAAAATGCTTTTTTTTAAGTTATATTACATATTCTCATAAAGGAAATTTCATAAAAGCACAAAGTTCAAGTTTCTACCAGTATCACACATTTGATACTGGTGTGCGTTTCTTTCAAATGTTGAGGTCAATGACAAACTCTATCAGGATACAGAGATCGTAAACAGACAGAAAACGGACGTATCACGTGCAGGGAGGAAGCCGTGCGGGCCAAGATTCGGCCCGCTGGATGCTACTCCCTCTGTACTGAGACACAGAGACCGTGCACTGGCTCATTACTGGGTAAAGTACAGCCAACTGTCAGTCAGGGGCCGAATGCTCCGATCTGAATTCTTTGTCTTCTATCAATCAGTTGACCGCTCTGGGCAGTTTCTCTGCTAACACCTCCCTCTCCAGTTATCTGCTAGCAAATCTGGTAAAAGATTAAGGTGAAAGTTTTGGCTGCAATGAAGGTTTGGGATCAGCTATGGATTTAATTTAGTGATGGATCCTTTTACTTATTGCTTGAGAGAATTAAGGATTTGCTGTATCAAAAGTCTGCCAAATATCTCATTCTTAAGCTCTGAAAGCAACATGGGTGCTTGAAAACAAAAAAAAAGGGGGGGGGAGGAGGGGACACATTGTTCTCTTGACCTAAGAAAACTGGTATTTCTTCACTCACAGGTCATTTCATTATACTGAAGGATTTCAGTGCGAGCAGTTTAGAGCTATTCACTTCAGGACAGGTAGTGGCGAGCTACACTCTTTTTCCATGGTTTAAAAATCCACGAGAAAATGACAAATAGCTAAAAACATGAGAAGCTCAGACTGAAAGTATGATACACAAGTCACTGAAGATCTTCCTGAAATAGATTTAGTAAAGTTTGGCAGAGTCTTCAGATAGCGAAAACGCTAACATGAAGAAAATGGGAGCAAAACCTACAATTTAAAAAGGATTTCATACTAAAAAAAAAAAAAAGGCTTAGAACATGACTAAAATAAATGGTACTCCACATCTGTAACCCTATTTTTGGCACTAGTTTACTTCTACACTTAAACTTGTTCTACAGAGAGTGACGGACGAAATCAGGGAGAAGAGATTCACAAAGTGAGCAGGGTCGCACCCAGACATCACTCAGAATGGTTTGCGTGGCACCGTCTGCATGGTTTCTGGGTACAGAGGAGGGCCACACTCACCTCAACAACAACAGAATAATTGTGTAGAACACCACTTTCCTGAATTAAGTTTGCTGAACACGGTTCAGATTATTGGATATGTCAATATGCACAATGCCTTTTAGAAGCATTTACTGTATACCCAAATCCTACTTCATGCAACACACAGTGTCACACAAGTAGTGAAAATGTTATCCTAGTCAAAGGTGCTTGGACATTATTTTCAGGCAGCATTTTACCTTTATTTTTAAGTTCTCGCTAGATAAGTTTTAGGAGAAAGAAAATGCCAATAAATGTATTTAATATATTTTAATATATTCTATAGAACTAAGACAGACACTTTCACTTACCTAAATTGTTACTTTTATCTTCTACCCTATCCTAGACCTCAATTTTACTTTAAAATTTTGTATTTAAATAAGGGATAAAATGTTGCCCAAAAGTCTAATCATAGTTACACATTTGTGTTTTCACTAGATCTACAAATCAAAATAGTTCTTATAGTTAAAAAGATACAATTTGTATCAACAGTAAAAGGTACTTTCTGGCTTTTCAGGGCTTTCCTTCAAACTGCAGCATGGAGAATGGTCGGAATACCCCGGGCATCGAGGCAGACGGCAGACACAGATCAGGAGGAGTCTGTCGCACGAAGTGAAATTCGGAGCCTGGAGGCAACAGTCAAGTCATGTGAGGCACCCGACTGCCCCTCAATGCGGGGTCTGTCTGCCGAGGACAAAAATGAATTCGCATCTAGCAAAACCCGTGACTCTGAAACCAGAAATATCCCTTACTAATACTAGAACAGACTTTAGTCTGTAGCTAAAACTACACTATTTGTGGCAAGAATCTGGCCTTAATAATATAACAGGCCCCCCAAAAAACTACCTTCAGGAAAATGGAAAATATACAGTATCTTACAAACATTTTTAAGTTACCACTTACAACACCTCCACCACCACCATTCCTATAGTGCAGTATCGATAAATTTTGCATATCCTCAACACATACACCCACCTCAGGCCAGCCTTGATAAATAGCGGGAACGCTAAAGAGTATATTAAATATAAAAGTTGCATTGAGAATAATTAGATTCATTAAAAACAGGCAAGTACTGTGAAAGGGTTCTTTTATCCAGTATTGTTGTGCCCCGAAACAAGAAGGACGAACACATTAAAAATACAGGTTAATGAGAATCTGGGAATTCAATGCCATTTTCTACCGTCTAGAAGCACATCATAGCTGGATAACAAAGCTCTAAACTGGAATAGTTACGGCTTTTGCCTTACTCGTTAAAAAAAAAAAAAATGGAAACAATTTTTTCCATTGATTGCATCTGCTTTCCTTTAAGTCAACCGTATTAAATTAACTAATTACTTAACAGAAAAAAAAAAAACCCGAACAAAAATAAAACAATGAAAAGTGCCATGTTGTAAATCATTCTAATATAGACTGTTACCCATTTCCATATAAACTGGTAACTTACATTTTGTTTAAAATATAAAGTCAGTGCTGTCGTATATCTTTGTTTCTATAAATAATGATTACAGCACAAAGAAGCCCACCTCCCCCAAATAAAAATAACTTAAAAAGCTGTAAAAGATTCCAATTAAGCTTGGCTTGCAAAAATAGTTGGCTAGGGTCTAGTCAAATGTTCGACATTCTGAAAGTATTGTAATTGCTTGCAATTGATAGACAAACACCAAGTTAATAAAACACGAAACAAGGATAAAAAGTGCTGCATATAAACCCCTGATGCACCAAAGATTAATATCAAAGATCACAGAGACATCTAATAAATCAAACTGGAAAAATTTCCAGCCAAGGAGAGAGCTTTAAAAAGGAAATGTTTAAAAAAAAGTTTGAATGTAAAGCAATCCCGTGATACTTCCACTACGTGGGGCTATACATACAGATTCCATGATACAGTATTTCACATAAATGGATACTAGATAACCTCCTTGCCGAGAAGGAGATCACGTGTGCTATTGTAGCAAACCTCCCTCAGCATTTGAGCTGAACAAAAAACTACTAAACACCACAAAGATGCATCATCTTTCAATAGCCCAGCTGTGACTTCTCCACTAAGATGGCCGCGGCGAGCTGCTGGGCGTCTGTCATGTGAGGGTTCCTTTTCATGACAGTTCTCACAAGGTCAGGGGGGAAGATGTTGCACAAGTTGATGTAAATCTTCTCTCGGTTGTCTTGGTACCTTGGAGGATCTGGTGGCATCCCGCAGTACGGCATGCGCCACGTCGGCTCTTGCTGCTCGGGCAGGCTCTGGAAGGTGAACTGCTCGTAGCACGGCTGCGTGGAGCTGTCGGGCAAGGAGTAAGTCTGCCGGTAGCCGTACGCGTCCACGCCGTAGCTCTGCCGATCCCAGCTTCCCAGCCCTTCCTGGGGGGAGTAAGGCTTTCTCGGTCGGGAAGGAGAGCTGTCGTACAGCCGGGAGTCCGAAATGCTGTCTATTCGTGTGGCCACGAGGGAGCGGCCCAGGTGCGGCGCCTTCGGGTGCGCGGAACTCGGAGGGGAGGGGTACTCGCCGGGGCAGCTGGACCGGGCCCCCACGGCTGGGTGCTGCAGGTGCACGGCCAGGTGTGGCAGAGGAGGCTTGTGATGGTACTTTGGTTCTTCGTGACTGTAGCTTTGAGCTCTAGCTAAGGGGTCGTGGAAATTCTGCAGGAAGGGCTGGGAGTTAAGGCGGCTGTGCGGGCGCATGTGTTGGCACTTGAGATTCTCTTCCAGCTGAGGGTCAGGAGAACTGACGTAGGACCGGTCGTTGTACCCCACGTAGGAGTCACTGCTCCCACAGCTCATGCTCCCTTCACTGCTGCAGTCAGAAGCTACAGAGCTGATCCTGTAATCTGTGTCCAGGGAGAAACGCCTTTCAGGACTGCGTGGGCCTGAGATACTCAGATTTGAATATGCATTCAACATGGAATAGTATCCGATGTCAACAGGCGAGTCGCATTTGGGATACTGTTCGTAAGGCATTGGCGTTCCATGATTTTTGGTTGCCATCACCATTGGAGGATATTGTCCCTGTGGTCTTTGATCCTGAGGTGGGAAGTGAACTCCAGATGGAAGGCCATTGCTTAGAGATGTAGTGCTTTGGGGTTTTGCAGTAGAAGTAGCCGGGATACTAACTAAAGAAGGTACAGACCTGGTTTCCAATTTGTTTTTGGTGGGAAGCTTTTCCTCTAGGTCTTGGTAGACTTGGGTCCTTATGCTTGGGTCCGACTGCCTCTTTGGAGCACCTCGTTTGACATCGGAAGTGCTGTCCGCTTTCGTGCTGCAGGGAACACTGTTGCTCTTCACCAGTCCTCCTTCGTTGGCGGTTTTGGCCGCGGTGTTTCTAGACATGGCACGAAGCTCATCGGCCACCGACCGCTGTGGCTGACTGCCCCTCTCGGGGTGGTAATATTTGCACTTGTGTCCATAGGTACACTTCTTTCCTATGAAGAGGAACATTAATTAGGCAAAGGAGCATCCCACCAGACCCTGGCAGCTCAGGGTTTTAACTTGTGAGAGAAACAAAGGCAGAAATGGAAGGTAAGCTAAGTCGCTCCTTTGTCCCTTCCTCTGGAGACCTGCTCCCTTGCAGTCCTCCTCGCTTCGGTCCTCTCTAGGGTGACCGACACACTGGCTGGGCGATTAAGTCACCTCCAGAGGGGTGGGTTAACACCATACCCTGTGTCCTCAACTCCTCCCTGCCCATCCGCTTCCAGTCTGGCTTCACAATCAGGACCTTCTGTTCTGAAGAGCAAAACGCACTGCGGTAATGCGCTAAACCCCTGCCCATCTGAGGTGTAGCTGGATGTCAGAACACATTTGTACCTGCCTGATTAAGCGGAGTTTTTGGAACCCATGTTTTAATTCTGGGAAATGCATTTGCATGGAACCCAACTAGGTAAAAATAATTACTTTTTTTCCCCACGGCTAAGATGTTTAATTACAATTCAAAGAACCACGTACTATGCCATCCAAAATATAACATGTTTATTTTTATTACCAAAAGTTTAACAACAGACTGTATTCTGAAGGCGTATGTTAAATAGTTACAAGGAAAGTTACCGTATGGACAAGGCTGCTTTTTGTGTTCAGGAACAATAGGTTTCTTCCTCAGAAAATTATCCAGGCTTGGGCCGTGTCTGCCAAGCGGGTCATCAGGGGGCATGAACCTGTCAGGGACAGAATACAAAGTGATGTAGGAGGCTGATCATTTAATTCCGAAGACAAGGTAAGAGACTGATTCACTCTAAGGTCTTTAAAACATTTTTAATCAAGTATTTTGACTCAGCATTTATGGGGTAAAAAATCTCAGTACACATAATTTTCTTAATGAACACAAAAGTAAAATGTGTCAAGCCGAACTTGTATTGGTTTTTAGTCAAGTAAGTTTTGAGCCTTGCATGTTCTCATGAATTCTTTCTTCCTGTCAGTCTCGGGATTTTGTAAGGACTTCAGAAAACAACACGCTGCCATTTTAGGGGGACTCCGTGAGCCTCGATCTTGTCAAGTATAGAGGCCGGGTAAGCGAGGAGCAGTGAACAGGAACACGGACACTGGACCAACCTCGCTCCCGGCCTGGGAACGTGCATACCCGCCCCCTCTCCTTTCTTCCTGACAGTGGGCCCTTCAGGTATTAATTTTTGCAGATTAATACACTTTCCTAATTAAGTGACTTTGATCTGAGTTCACACTGCACAGTTGAGATTCCGCATCGAACCCCACAGCCCACTCTCTTTGCGCCTCAGCAGAGAGATGGAAAAAATCTCCCGGATCCAAGAGTTCACAGCATGCAGAGCCTAACGGGAAGAAGTTACAACTGAAGAGTTCTACTCCTTATGTCAATGCTGGAACTTGAAATGGGCCAAGGAGTTACCCAGGAAATGTGAACAATGTTAAGGGAGTGTCAACGTGGCTAAGAACACTTAGCAAATACAGTGTTTACTGTTTGTTAAAACAATGTGGCAACATTAAGAACAGAAGAGTAACTCAATCCTACGATCTTAATACAACTATTTTCCATTTATGTGTTGCATTTTAGTCATTTCTGTATGCATACACGTTTCCCAAACACAAATATAATTTTGTTTTGTCTTTCTAACAAATTTCCATGTTCCTCAATAGCCTTTATACTCATAATGCTGAAGAGCTGAAAATATTCTGCTAGATGCAGAGCAGCTTAACCGATTTCTCTGTTGTACCTTCAGCTGCCTCTGAATTCTTGCAATTATAAAAAATACAGAAATGAACAAATCTGGTCTTTTTCTCCTCAGACTATATATTCCCAGCAAGGAGATGATGGGCCTGAGAGGTATACGTATTTCCAAGGCTTCTGTTGACCCACGCCAAACTGTGTGAGCAGTTTCACTATATCTTTAACAGCACAGAGCACATGCAAAAATATTTTTGTGATTTAAATGGGTGAAAAAATATGTACTTTGTAAATTTAGTTCACATTTTTGATTATCAACAGGTGAATTTCCCCCCATTTTGGAAATACACTTATTTCTCAGGAGACCTGCTTTTTATTGTTCTCTGCCCATTTATCAACTTAATCATGACTGGAGTCTTACCACTGGTGTAATATTTACAAAAATCACATATTTTAAAAATAGATTTAAGTGATCAAGGCTCTAGGTAGATTTTGAAAGGCAGTGTTTTGGGGGGGGGGTCGATATGTTCCAGAACCATCCCTGTCCGTTCTGACAGATGTGCCATGTTCGCGTCCTACAGCGCAGGGGCCTGTCCCTCCCCCACGGATTCCTGACCCCCCTCCCCCTCGCCGGCCCGGGGATCAGAGGGGAAGTAGGCTGAGGGGCTGCGGGAAGAGACGTGACTTGGGTCTGGCCCGTGGCAGGTGCAGCGAGGGCTCTGCGTGCAGGGAAGCAGGAACCCTCCGCCCCCCCCCCCCCGCCCCGTCAGTGAATGGGTTCACTTACTTGTCATTGACAAAGGAGTACATTAACAATCGCTCATCTATGAACTTCTTCCACTCCGGTTTCTCATTTGCCAGGTCCCTGTAGTTGTCATTGGACACAATGATCCCGTCTGACTCAAAAGCCAGCTTCACGATGAACCGGTCATCATAGCACACCACCCGCCTGCCCTGGACTCGTCGGGATGGTGTGAATACCAGGATTTTCTCCTTCTCTAATTTTCGCAGAATTTCTTGATCTGCAAGGACGATCAGGGCAGAATTTCACCAGTAAGTACAGACATAACACGTGGGGCAACTTGCATACAACGTGAGCTTTTATGAGGGGAACTGGATTTATGCCCTCATTTCATGAGGGATTATGATTTACAGTTTGTAGATAGAACACATTTTTAATTCCCAATATTTTTTCCCTGAGGATTGCAATAATAACAGCTTTAAACATAGCCCCCAAAGTCATTAAAAATGGTTTAAAACTTTAACAGAATAAACATCCATTTGCTCAGTGATGTTTTTCATTACGCCGTTCTGACAATGCAGCTGTGTGGGGTTCAGGGGCGCCCGCGTCCTCCCCCCGCCAAAGCCCGTTTATTTTGTTCTTCTGTTTTCTGATGAGTGGAGGTGACGGGGGAGAGTTTGAGGAGCACTAGTAGAGGCCCCTGAGGTGGCAGGGGAAGAGTCTTACGATGCGGAAGGTTCATGGAGGACACAGTGGAGGCAGAACTGTCGCTACAGACATGACCCTCACCTGTTTCGGGTCCTTTCCTAGGAAACGCGTGGCAACAAGGGCACATCCTCACAGGGTGGGCTGCGTGAGGAAGGGCTCAGATGTGAGGAGAGGGGAAAGCTGCCCAGACGGGGTAAGGCTAGCTAGAGGAACGCTCCTTGTCTTCTGTGGGCATGTTCTTCAGCACTTTGTAACTCTGACTTGTTTAGTGGGGTTTGGTTTTGTTTTGTTTTTAAAGGTGCTGGCCTTCCTATTTTGATTAATGATAAAAGTTCTCTCTCCACCATCCCTTCTTCCTACTTGGGCTCTTCTACCTCCTGTCTTCCCACCATTGTATATTCTGGCCCAGAGTCAGGAGGGTCATGATAAAAAAAAAAAAAAAAAAGGAAAGAAAAGCTACTTCTCCATGTTTATTAACTGCAATTGCTAATTTTTAAAAAATCTGTCTTCAGGGACCAGGTATGGCGTGCCAAGTATTAATGGTCAGCAACATTAAGAATGACCTCTCCTTAAGAAGGTGTCAGTCACCAGACAGACACGCAGATTAGGTAAGCAAGGGCTGTAATCGCCACAACAGGGTACTGGGGATGAGCCAGGGTCCCTTGGAGGGAACAGGGAGGGATTAGGGGTCGGCTGGCTCCGAAGCTGGCGTATAGATTTCATGATGTTCCTGACATGATTTCATCAGGACCAGAACGTTGGTTTAGAAGCGCACCAGAGCAGAACTGGAGGAAATGTGGGTATTAGAAGCAGCAAATCATGGGGAAACCTCAGGTTCTGGCATTTTCTATATCTGGCAGTCATCCCTTATTAAGCCTCCGAGGTAGTCAGGAGGCCAGAAGTCAGGGAGCTGTCACACACGTAAGCACTTAGCACAGAGCCTAGCAAGCTCTCAACACTGTTCAACTGAATTTTAACAGATATAACTGTTGATCTCTTAATCACAGAAAACCAGGACAAACTGAAAAGCTCAGTCTCAACTACAGGATTTGTCATGTTATAATTATTTTTGTGTGTTGCCCTGATAAACGTGGTCCCTGCCCTTAAAATGTTTATCTTTATTTCCATTAGCACTCGGCCCAGGAAGCACAGCAGGAGATACTCAGTAAATGTCTGTAGAATGAATGCATGGGGTACTTAGAGATGGATCCCAGGTTGGCGACTATGTTCATGAATAAGCCATGCTACTTTATTTGTGGCAGTGTTTACTCATACACGATACGCCACAAAGCTATTAGAGAAATAAGTGTGGTGGCCTAAGGGTCAACATCATCTTGCTTCATTTGCTTTTTCTAGAATAGCTAATGAGGTAAAAAGAACAGCCAATCAGGACAAATAATCCTAACTTAAATAGATACGGGTTCAGTATGGCTAGTAAGTTGAACTGAATCTCTTAATTCCTAGCACAGCACCTGATACAGAGCTTTGGGCTTATGAAATCGGTGTTATCTCACTGGAAAAAGCGCTAGTCTGAATCTCTATGGGAGAGCCTGAAAATATGGGTCAAGCTTCCTTTTTTGTACAGTGAAAAAATAATGGACTATTCAGTTTACCAGGTTTTATCTGGTTGAAGGTTTTAGTTAGAATTATTACCCAGGGGGAGAAAACACCTCCGGACCTTTGAGCAGCCCTTAAGGCAGGGGTTAGGGTGCTGACCCCCTCACTTTTGAGCCCCCAGAACTTAACCACCGCATGGAAGCCACGTCTTGTGTTATGTGTATTCTATACTGTATTCTTATTATGAAGAAAATCATAAGCGAAAATATGTTTACAGCACTATACGGTAAAAAGTCCGTTTATAAGTGGACCCAGGCGGTTCCAACTTGTGTTGTTCGAGGGTCAAGTGGAGCTGAATGCAGTTTACAAAGCACACTGCATCCTGATGCATTCCAGAGCCCTGGCGTGCTGGTATTTTAAAAATTAAACTCAGACACACCTGCCATGCCCATGATCCTTTTCCCTTCTTGGGCTCCTGTTCCTTTCATGTTCAAGCTTTCCAGTCATTTACATGTTTAAATATTGTTTTCTCTTTTTCGATTTATTTTCCCCTTGATTATTAAAAATATTCTAAGTTCCTTAAGCAAAATTAAGAAAGTAAGGGAAAATACTCAGAAGTAGGGAGAAAGACCTCAAAGTCATGACACAGAAGTCAATTACTGTGAATACTTTGGCATATTTCCTTCTAGTCATTTTTTGTGTATTCTGTTCTTGCCATCATTGGTCTAGGTATAAATATGCATATGTGTACATGCACACAATAATAAAACTTCTATGGAAAGGGGAACTTCCTCAGATCATTAGAAATTCTGCCTAAATATTCTAATACATATTCTAACTTCTCAAACCATTCTAGTGAATATAAATTTCAATAATAATGCACTGGATGTCTTTGTGGTTCTAAATCTTTGCCTGTAACTCTGCTTATTTTCTGAGGAATTATGCCTAGAAGGGGAACTAGTAGACCCAAGAATATTAATATTTTAAGACCCAACTATTTTTTAGAAAGGTTGTATCAATTCGTTTCCACAGCAGTGAAGGAAGAGGTCCCGGAGGCTTACCAGTTTTTCAATCTGCTAATTTGATGGGTGAAATACAAGAGTTGTTTAAATTTGTCATTTCTTGAACTGCTAATGAGGCTGAATTTTTTTCTCTTACTGGGCACCTGCGTTCTGTGAGCTGTCTGTTCCTACCACGTTACCATTTGTATGCTGGGGAGAGCTCTGTGTTTGTTTTCCCAGCGTCTAAGAGCTCTTTAGATGTTAAGGACATGGATTCTTTATTTGTCGTATTTTTTTCCCCTTAGGCAAATAAAAGTTCTCATTTTAAAGAAAATTTCCCAAAATACAGAAGTTTAGATTTTCATGCAATGAAAATTATCTTTTCCTTTGTAATTTCCTCCAAAAATTTCAACTTTACTAAAGTTTTCCCCAGCCATTCAAAGACTAGTGTTTTTGACAATTCTTCAACCATCTGGAATTTACTGTTATATGGTGGAAGATAAGGATCTAAATATGTGTATTTTTTCCAAGAGTTATCTAATGTCTTGGTGCTCCTGGTTGAATTCTGGCACCTTCTTCCCTTTACAGTTTATACAGACTAGGGTGATTCCACAGCTCTGGACTCCACCATGTCTTGCCTATCTATTCCTACCCTGGCTCAAGTAATGACTTAATGATTAATCTTCCCTTCAGGTATGTGGTCTGTGGTCTGTTTTTGATTTGAAAAGTATAGTTTTCTTCACACAAGTTCCTCAGTTTTTGTTAATGTTGGAGGTGGGCAGAGGGGCAGGAAAGGTTAACTTCAGCAACAATCATTAACAGTTTTTGCCTGAAACTCATACATTTTAAAATTACATTTTAAATTAACGTAAAAATTACAAAATAGCACAAAATACAGACACTGTATTGAGACGGAGTCCCTTCCTTCTACTTGACCCCAGACAGCAGAGCTCCAGGGTCCTGCAGGTCTGTTGTGAACTACGTCACTGACTTCATATTGCAGAAAGAGAAACCGAGGTCCAAGCATGTTGCTCAAAGCCCAATGGCTAGTAAGTGGCAAAACCAGAATTTTAATCTAGGTCTCCTGACTCCATGTCCCAAAGTCAAAATTTTACAAAATTTGAAGTAAAAAGCTTCCAAATTACAAAAAGAAAACAACCCCAAACCATTGGTTTATGGAGCAAGGATTACTGTTTCCTTATCATCAGAGAGTTGATGGACATCATCTTCATCAGTGCAACATCTGACGGCGTCCGATGACCTGCCCGGGTACATCTGAAGCTATGACCAGAGCGCTCCCAGGGCTTACCTGTGATGAGAGCATCAGGCCGGGACTGCTCTTTTCTCCAAGCCGGAACAAAAACTGTAACATCTTTGTGGCCTCTTTCCAAAAACCAATCCACTGCCAATTTGATTCCCCGGCAGGAAAATACTTCTTTGTTTCCATGGCTGAAAGATGATTTTAGAACACATAAGACACAACAAAATCTAAATTCAACTTAATTCAAATTTGTCAGCAGAAATGACCACCTGATTACAATAGTAATGGACTTCAAATTTAAGATGGAGTTGTACAGCTCAGGGAAACACAGAGAACCTGGAAAGCTGAAAATCTGTGAGGAAACATGAAAATTGGGATCATTCTTGTGGGAAGAATAAAGAAAAGTGAGGTTTTCCAGTGTCAAGGTGTAAAGGTTAACTAGTCTGAAAGTTTTAATCAGGATGGGGGAGAAAAGGAAGGGGTCTCCACCACAGCAAAAACTTCAGTCAAATGTGAAAAAGTCACCTAGAAAAAAATCTATAAACGGAAAATCACGTTCACAATGCTTAATTGCCTATAAGAAACACTTCCCATGTCCTTTAATGAAAAGACACCTGGTTTTAACAGTATTGTGTCAGACAAGGATTAATGATGACAAAAGGGCATTCAAAATTGGATTAAGCAGTCTTAGCGCCTACAAGAAAATGCTCGGACGAAAGTGTAGTCACTCAATAAATACTTAGCTAGCACCAGGCTCTGCCTGTGCACTTTAACCTTGTAATTCAAAAATTAACACTGAATCTAATGTTTTTAAAAGAAACAGTCTTCTGCTTTGAATATAACAACTGTTGTTTTGTATTTTTTTGCAGCTTGAGCTCCATAATGGAGACAGATATTCTTTACTCCTCGGTGTGAAGGAAATAAGGTAAGTAAATGCTCTGTTAATTTTTAGCACAAATCAAATATTAGGTGTATTAACATATTCTACTAGACCCCTTGGGAAGTACTAGAACCATCTAAATAATCATTTCAAGGACAAAACAGAAAGACCAACTTGCTTTGTAGATCCTGAAGCCTATAAATGCAAACCACATAGACTGTTCCTGTTCCATAGAATGTTCTGGGGCAAGGTGACAGGTGGACTCAGATGCAGTGGAAGTTTCAGAGGGAGAGATAAGGGAAGCCAGAGTTTGAGGTCCTGGTTCCTAGGTAACTCAGGCTACTCGATGGCCCTGCCAGTGCCCCAGCAAATGACACAGTGATGCTGAGTTTCATAGAAAATACCACAATCAGTCTTCCGAAAAACTACAGAAAAGACTGGTATCATCTCTTGAGAGAATATACATATTATTCCTAAATACAAACATTCACTGACACCTGACCATATTTTTATTTTGTATTAATGCTTTGAAATCTAAGTATATTGTGCCTTGCTAGTCGTTAATGACATGTGGTTTCCTGAGGCTTGAGCATTTAACTGTTTCTGGCTCTGAAGAGAGAACTGCATCAGCACTTTCTCCCTGGTGACTTCACTTGGGAAGGGAAATGGTCACATCTGACTCAGAAGATAAGATCTTCCATTTCTGCAAAGAATGTTCACAAGATGTGTGGCAACAGCAAATCATTTACAGTCATGGGACAAAGATTCTCTAGATGCTGAAACAGGTATTATCCCATCTGATACTGACGGTAAAGGTTGTTACTGCCCTCTCCTTGCCCCACAACCCCCCCACCCCGTGCTCCCATCCAACAATACCTCATAGCGAGAAAGCCAGCAAGAGGATGGAAAGTGTCACAGTGTGAATGATACACAGACACATACAAAGAGCCTGGGTTTCTGAGCAGATGGATCCACACCTAGCTCTTACCTTGTTATTTGAGAAAAAATACCTCCTCTCAATTTAAGAAACTGTAGGCAAGTTTTCTATCATTTGTAGCTAGACTAAAGAAAACTTGGAAAGCTCTATGAATCTGTATTTTCATGTAAAAACGTTAGAAGGACAAAAAAGCTATCAAATAATAGTAAAAAGAGAATTCACAAGGATGCTATAATTGTGAACTGAGTCTCCAAATGAGTAATGCAAAAGATGACTGGATTAGTAGAAAGAAAATATTAGTTGAATGATGGAGCAGAAAATGTAGTAAGAATACCGACAACTAGGACAATCAATTACAAGCTTGACCTAATGGACATACACAGAAACCTGCACAAAATGAGAAAATCATTTCAAATACATGTGGAAGATTTATGAAACTGGCTATGTACTAGGCTACCCCAGACAGATTACAACAGGCAGCAAGAAACTGTATCATACAGACAAGATTCGTGGACAGTATTATTACATTGAAGATACAAGGTTCTAGTTCAAAAATTTGTATTGCTCTACACTAGCAAACCAATTTAAAATTTTAACTAAAAAATCCCATTTGTAGGGGCACCTGGGTGGCTCAGTCAATTAAGTGGCTGACTCTTGATTTCAGCTCAGGTCATGATCTCAGGGTCCTGGGATCGAGCCCTGCATCAGGTTCTGTGCTCAGCAGAGAGTCTGCTTCGGGATTTTCTCTCTCCCTCTGCCCCTCACTCTTGCTCTCTTTCTAAAATAAGTAAATCTTAAAAAAAAAAAAATCCCATTTGTGAAAGTAACAAAAACTAAAATCTAAAGAGGAAAAGACAGACAAGAGCTTTATGGAGCAAATCAAAATGGAAAGCCTGTATTGAAGGGCGTAAGTGAGGACCTGAATGAAAGGAACAATAATATATCATTTTCATGGGTGGCGAGACTCTCTTTATTTATGAAGATGGCAATTGTCAGATTAATCTGTAAGTCCACTGCAATTCCAACAAAAGTCCTCAAAGGGATTTTCAGGGAACCTGAGAGGCTCATCCTAAAATTACTATGAGAAAACAAAAGACCCGAATGGTTAAGCAATATTGAACAAAAGAGGAAGAACTTTCCTGTTAGCTGCAATACGTCGTATAAAACTACAGAAATCCAATCAAGGGTATACTGGTACAGGCAAAGATTAAAAAACAAAATATATAACAAGAGTGAGCTGAAGGTAATACATGTGTATAAGTGACATTAGAAATTAATGAAGATGGACCATTTGCCATGGTCCTAGGGCAACTGATTATATGGAAAACAACTGTATTTTTATCTCCTACCATACACAAAAATAAACTGTAGATCAAAGATTTAAATATGAAAAATACCGTAAAACTTTTAAAAGAAATTATAGGACAGGGCGCCTGGGTGGCTCAGTTGGTTAAGCGGCTGCCTTTGGCTCGGGTCATGATCCTGGAGTCCCGGGATCGAGTCCCGCATTGGGCTCCCTGCTCAGCGGGGAGCCTGCTTCTCCCTCTGACCCTCTTACCTCTTGTGCTCTCTGTCTCTCATTCTCTCTCTCTCAAATAAATAAAATCTTAAAAAAAAAAAATTATAGGACATACATTAGGATGGGGAATTTTTTTTAAGGTTTTATTTTAGAGCGTGTGCACAGGTGGGGGCAGGGGGAGGGGTAGAGGGAGAGGAAGAAAGGATCTTAAGCAGACTCTGAGCCCCATTTCAGGCTCCTCAGCACAATCTCATGACCCTGAGATCATGACCTGAGCTGAAACCAAGAGTCGGAGGCTTAGCTGACTGAGCCACCCAGGTGCCCTGATGGGGAAATACTTCTTAAAGAAGACACACAATCATGTGCTATCAAGGAAAAGCCTGAAAGATTGGCATACATAAAGCTTATACAAAAGAACAAACAAAAATGCCATAGATTGGGACAAGGTATTGCAATGTATAGGACCAAAGAAAAGGTGGTACTCAGAGTATATAAAGTACTCCTATACATTGAGAAGGGTAACCACTTTTTTAAGGCAAAAGATATGAACAGTGAATTCACAGAAGAGGAAACCCAAGTGACCAACGAACATATGAAAAGATGCTCAATAGTGAAGACATGCAAATTAAAGCCAAAAATGAGACACCACTTCACACCCATAAGATTGGAAAAAATAAAGTCTGCAAACACCAGATGTTGCCAAGGATGTGTGAAAGCAGGAACTCATACGTTACAGGTGGGAGTGTAAATTGGTGTAACTATTCAGGAGAACAATTTGGCAGTACTTTATAAAGTTGAAGGCGTGCTTTCTCTAAAACACAGTAATTCCATATCCAGGTATAGTAACACCCCACACTAATATGAAATCAGGTTCAATGCAATTAGCAATGGGCTCTCATGCTTGACCCAGGCTCGGGGCTCGTGGGGACGGGAGAGGCAGGCAAGGGTGGATGTGTAGAGGGGGTCTGAGTCTCTGACACTTTCCCAGATGATCTTTTCCTCCTGGTCAGACCAAAGAAATGAGTGCTAACCACGAAAACCCTGGAATGGTTGCTGTCGCCTTGGAAGTGCCTCCCAGCTACCAAGGCCCAGAATCATCCCCAGAAATATTAAAAGCCCAAACAGATAAATGACTGGTGGTTCCAAACTGCAGCTGGGACTTCTCCAGACTAGGAGAGCTTTAGGAGAATGAACTTAATCTCCCCTTACTGAGGCGTGTTGAAGGATGTGCGTCATCACATGTGCTGGATACAATACTTGTAGGAGGTTCTGATAAAGAATTATAAAAACAGGACATCAGAGCAAACACACTGCAGCTCCTGGTGCAAATGAACTATCAGTTGAGTACTTACTAAAATAAGTAGGATGATGTTTAAGAACTGAAGTTTTAATTCCATATAAATAGAGAAGAAAATTCATTATAGTTCTGTAGTCACTTACGGGCTATGTCTGCATGCATTTTCTCAGTAGTAAAAATAGCTAATTCTATATTTATGAATTGGCATGTTCTTTTGGGCCTTGATTTCTTTTTTATTTCAACAATTTGGCAATAAAGATGGTATACCTCATGTGAGTCCTTCTGATGCTGAATTTGTTGGAAGATCTGTGGCCACCTTTGATTAGGTAAGAGACCCTGAATGTTTGATAAAACATGTCCTTTGACTCAGTGGGATTGGGTTCGCAGGGAAAATTCCAAATTCTCACTGCAAATTCTGAGTTCCTATATAACACAGGCTCAAAGTTGGCATGTGGTTCACCACTGGCTTTAATGGTAGAAGAATACAAGAAGTCTACCAGCAGGTAACTTTCTTAAAAGGCTTATTTTACTCTGTTCATGTTTGGAATAAGCATG